CATTTTATTTGTTGGCATTGATACTCAACACATGAAATCTCCAAAATAAAACATTAGGAGCATCTTCCAAAAATTATCAGTTCCATAAAAGTCACCTAAAACGAACTTTTATATGATAAGTTTGAGTAAACCATTCTCAAATGTTGATAATGTTGGCTAAGTTGAAGTAACTGCTTGGGCTAGATCCAATGCAGAGGCTGAATACAGAGCTATGGGCTACTCAGCATTTAAAATGTAATGTAGACATAGGCCTTTTGGTTAGTCATCTTATGATACAATATTGCATGAATCGTGCCACCTCTTTATAGTAAAAGCAATACAATCATTTCTAAACAAACTAAACATATTAAAGTTGATTGCCATTTTATATAAGATGCAATGCTTACCAAGAAGATTGTTAATACACATATTTCGAGTTTAAAAGACTTGGATAATATCTTTACAAAAGCATTGGGAATCTACTGTTCTTTTATTTATTTTACAGATGCATTCTATGTTTGAAACGAAAGGAAAAAATTATATTCCAATGGTTTCTTGTATATGAAGAGTGGTTTGCTTTTCTACTAAACAATGGTATTGACAAAAGTTTCTTCACCAAAATATATCAACACACACACACACACACGATGCATCGTCTCCCTCTGCTAGGGTTGACTCTTCCCGTCGCGACTCCATGGCGGAGCGGGTAGCTGCAGTGGTTCGCAGACTCCTGCTCGAAGAAGGGTGGGGGATCGCGTCGCCGTGCCCCGGCCTCTCGCTCGTTCGCTTCGCTTTGCTCTTCGGTATCATTCGTTCGATCGCGTCATTTTCTGGATCGTCTCACGAGCTCACTGAGAAGGTAGTGGCGGAACTGCAACTTGCACAGTGCCGCGATCCTTCCTGTGACGTGCCGCTTGATCCCTGCTCAACGTATCAAGCAGCAAAGAGCTCCGGTTGAAGTCACAACTCAAACCCAGGAGCTTGCCGCTGTTCAAATGCTGCCTTCCATTGCTACTGCCTTCCATGGCTACTGCTCCTTCTCGACCACCGACTACTACAGTTTTAAACCTTGGGAAAGCTTCTTTTGTTGATATGGTTGGCTCTATGGGATCAGATCAAGTTTTCCCTCATGTTTACCATGAATCATTCGAAGGCCAGGAGGAATGCAACCTTATCAAGAAGACGGGTAGGAAGAGTGACAAACTGGCTCTATTCTTCTCTGATGTTGAGGTTTCCAACCTGGTTAACAAGTTCAAATTCACCCTCATTGAGAAGTTCCAGAAGTTGAGAAGTTCCAATCGGGACATCCCAAAATGAAAATCGTTCAAAAGGCTTTTGAATATCTCAAACTATTGAGACTTTGGAAGATTGGCCTCTTTGATGGGAGACATGTGATGATACAATTATCTAAAGTGCAAGACTAAGCCAAAATATTTTCCAAAAAGCTTATGACAATAGAGGGAAAATATATGAAACTACTTAAGTGGTCTCCTAAATTTGACCCTAGTCAAGAGCATCTATAGTTCCAATCTAGTTTAAACTACCTGGATTAAAGTTGCACTACTTCAACCACTAAGTCCTCTACTCTATTGGAGCTGCACTAGAGAGACCTGAAATTGGATACACCCACCTTCAATCTAACCAGGCCTTCGACTGCAAGAATTCTTGTTGAAAGGGATATCACCCTCCCTGATATGGACGAAATATGGTTTGGTACTGCCTATAATGGGTATTGACAACCAATTATAGCAGAACAAAGACTCTACTACTGCAATCACTGTAAACTGTTTGGGCACACCCTATCAAATGCTTCAGGTTTCACACACATTTGAGATCGACAGGTCCTAACAACATCATCCATGTGGAGGAAAATAAAACAAACACTATTAATCTTCCAGAAATGTTGAATAAAAATTTGAATTATAAGGCTATTCCTCACCAATCAGACCAACAACTTCCGCCTACTATTGTTGAGGCAACACTTTCTCAGATTACAAATTTTGCGAATTTTGTTTTAGTAGATACCAGCCAAAGTGTCTTGGAGCCACCTTTTGCGAGAGAAGAGGGTACTCAAGTTATGGAGGAGTGTCAGGATCAAGGTGTGCTGCGGGTTGAGTTAGATCAACAATTTACCTCCATTGAAGATCTACCTATTGTTCACACGGGACTACCTCTGGTAGATGATTGACAGGTTTACAAATCTAGGAAGAAGAAGAAAGGAATGCCAAATCTCAGTAACTCTCAAGAAGACTATCATTTTTTCAGGCGGAAGCCCACATCTCAGTATGTTGTTGGACTCCCTCCCTAGATCCAAGGGAAGGTGAAGCGGTATATCCACCGACTACACCCACCATGATTAAGAGTTGTTTCTTTTTGTTTTATTTTTTGAAAAATACGTTTGTAATCCCTGTGAGTGGGCACTTTGTACCCACTCACTAAAATCTTTGTATCATCTCTGTCAGCTCCTATCAAATAGCAACAAATAACCATTGCTAGTGTTAATGGAGAATCCAAGAAAGAAGCTCACGATCATGTTGAAACAAGATAGCAACATACAACAACATGATAGCAGGACACGATAAATGCCAAACAAGAATTGCAAGATCACATGAAGAGGTGGCAAGAAGTCATTGTAACACCCAATTTTGAAAAAAGAGGGACAATTTTGACAATTTTAAAATATACCCTAATTCTCCTATTCTCAAAAATCTAATTAAATCAATTTTATAAATTACAGGTTCAATCGATCAATTGGATATATAACATCATATATGTATTATGAATAAAATGAGATATAAAAATAATAAAATATTGACATAGTTTAACTATTTAAGCATCTAATTAAATTCCAAATCCTGAGCACAGTAGCTATCGACCATCCTTAGCACCTAACAGTAGTAGGATGTATACGAAGGATAAGATTAAATTCGACCGTGTAAAATATCTTTGCATGAACGGCAAGAACTGCGCAACCCTCAGGAAGTTGCAAAAGGCCATTCAGGGCTCTGGGACGAAATCAATAAGACTGAGATGCAATTGCACGCTATTTGGAACATTTCTTTCCTTCCCTGCAATCCTTTTTCATGATTTTCCCTAGCCAAAATGCTCTGGCTTTCCCTATTATTGCAAGGAAAGGCAAAAATAAGGTCAAATGTTCTGAACTTTGATTCGTAGATTCAGTAGGGCTGTTAGCAAGAAGACAGTGAAGAAAAGAGAGAAGCAAAAGAAAGAGGAAAGGAAGAAAAGAATAGAAGAAAACATGTCAGGGAAAGTTATGCATAGAGATTCTTTTGAGTTAAGAATTGACCCATAAATTATGATTTGGATTAACGGGAAACCTAAGCATGAATTTCACGAAATTCTATGGGGTTTACGATTCCAGGTGGTCTACCCTAGGTGGCAAGCTTGAGACGAGTACAAGAAAATGCGTGATATATTTTTGTGATGAAATAATCTTACGCTAAACTAAGAATAATATATTTTTGTGGAACTAATGTGTGATTTCTTTCGACAAATGATTGCATTTAGAAATTCTACATGTTGAATATCTGCATATGTTACATGAATACCTATTTGAATTGACAAAAATGAAGTTTATGATTTTGTTATTTTAATGATCTAATGGACATATTTATTAAGTCAATGTATGTAGGTCTTCATTTACTATTGTCCATCTAAATGAAACATGAATTGTATATTATAAATGATTTCTATAGAGTATGTTTAATGGAATGTCACAAATGTTGTGATAGATAGACAATTATATGGATATTTGCAACTACGGACGATAGGAAATGAGATAATTCCGAACTTCTAGTATTCAGATGATGACGAATCGGGAACTGCGACGAAAATTTGAGAACAGTTGGTATCAGAGGGCTATTGATAACTGCTGTGTTGGGAGGTGCCCAACCTTAATCAATATTTAATTGAGCCTTTAGGCTAGGTGATGACTCAATAGCAAGAAATGTAATGAATGAAGTTAAAGCCTATACAATTACAAGTGACATTTTTAGAATGACATGTATTGATTTTGAATTTAGTATGGATATGATTATCATTGCACATGTTTGTTACAGTTATTTTTGATTATTTTATTTTAAATGCCTCGTATGATTAAAGCATATTGTATTTATGTTCTAATGTCACACAAATTAATAAGATGATTATGTTTTTTTTTAATAATAGTTAGTGTTGCACATTTGCACATTTAGCAGATAATTCTACATTTCATTCAAAAGCAAATAAAAACATCTATCAGAAATATCATACTATCCATGGTTTATTAAAATGTATCATATGGTAGTCACGTAAAAAACTTTTACCGAGGGAGACAATCTAAATTTGATTTCCAAGTAAATGATTGTTCAGCTGTTGGAGCTCAATTTAAAATCAAATCAAAATTTGAACTAGTTTCTGTTTGAGTTCTGCTTTATTCCTTTCTAATAAATAGTCAAAAGCAACTAATATCAAATGCATTTTTTGGTATTCCTATGGCGTTCAACAACAATAGTGAATTGTTCGGCGAGAAAATTAGGGCTATGGTTAAGCGACTTTGTTGAACGAAACAAATGAGAGAAAGAAGAGATAGTAAGTTTTGAAAAACTTTAAGAAAGATTATTAGAAGAAAAAGGAGAGAGATGATAAGAACGTAAAATAAAAAGGAAAATTTAAAAGAAAGGAGTGGAAAGTAGCTTTAGTTCGTAATTGTGGAAAATTATTTCATGCGTCAAATGCATGGAGGGGTTATAGGCCATTGTTGCATCAAAAGTAAGTTTTGGTAATGAGGAAGGATGCAAGTGTCAAGGTCCTTTATCGAAGTGATGTGCACGTGATTATTACCAGAAAATATACTGCAGCTATGAACAAAAAATAAAACTGTAGCTATGTCGTTATTATTCTCCCAACATTTATGTGAAGTAGCAAACAAGTGAATCATGTTGTATAAGCATACATGGTCAACGAGGAGAAAAATAAATAAAAAAACAGAAATCAAACATAACATAAGCAAATATGCAGACCTGATGAGCTACATACTGTACATCAGCTACACTGCCACTTCGGGAGGCTATTTGAAAGGCACTTTTCAGGCGACCACAAATTACACAAGCAAGCACTTTCCTGTTAAAATTGTATTACAAAGAAGGATGATGAGAAATGAAACCAGTAGCTCAAATTAAAAGAGTTTTGAAGAGCAATTATACCTACATGATTAAGAAATAATTTACGCCAGAGAACTGTGTATACCAGAAAAACACCAAATAGAGAAATTAAAATTTATTTTTAACTACATCCAATTTTTCACACTCCCCAAAATTCATCTAAATTATTTTTCCTAAACTTCTATATTTTATCCCGATTAAATTGATATATATTGGGTTTACAAAATAATTTGTTAAATCTGCATGACTAAGAAATAATTTACGCCAGAAAACTTTGTGTAGCACTAGAAAAACACCAAAAAGAGAAATTAAAATTTAATTTTAACTACATCCAATTTTTCACTCTCCCCAAAACTCATCTAAATTATTTTTCGTAAACTTCCATATTTTATCCCGACTAAATTGATATATATTGGGTTTACAAAATAATTTGTTAAATTTGCATGACTAAGAAATAATTACGCCAGAGAACTGTGTAATACCAGAAAAACATCAGAAAAACACCAAATAGAGAAATTAAAATTTATTTTTAACTACATCCAATTTTTCACTCCCCAAAATTCATCTAAATTATTTTTCGTAAACTAAGAAATAATTTGCGCCAGAGAACTTTGTGTAATACCAGAAAAACACCAAATAGAGAAATTAAAATTTATTTTTAACTATATCCAATTTTTCACTCCCCAAAATACATCTAAATTATTTTTCGTAAACTTCTATATTTTATCCCCACTAAATTGATATATATTGGGTTTACAAAATAATTTGTTAAATTAATAAAATCTGCATTAATGATTCTGGCACTGTAACTCACTCGCCACTTTGGCCGCTATGCAACTGTGAGATGAAAATCAAAGGTTAGGATTCAACTTTGTGAATGTGTGTGTGTATTGTACATACACTTAGTTAAATCAGTCTACATTCCCTATTCCCCTTCATTTCCTTCCTTCTTCACGTGACCTGGGCGATCTGGGCGAGGCAGACGCATCAATAAGTACTGTTTCTGCTCTCGCTTTGGAGTTTGGAAGGGGAATACCGAAGCACTTTAGTGAGAAATTTGAATTGTTTATATTAGGTAAATAAGATATATGCTTATAAACATCTAAATTTGTATTTAATATCATTAAATCTAAGAAATTTCGTCTATTTCTATCCATTCTAATATGAACTGGACCGAACTGTGGCAATGAGCAAATTAGGAAGTAATTGAGAGAGAAAAAAATAATATAAATTGATGTAATTAGATGTGTGGAAAAATGATATATATATATGCACATAAATAGCATGGCGTCAGTGATCGGTGGTTGGCTGCACCGCTAGGGTTTTCGCCCGATGGAGATTCCCTGGTATGATCTTTGGCTTTCCGAAAGTTCTTCTCTCATTCGACGACAATTTCTGCGTTCGTTTTCTGCGATCATCGACAACGACGTAGGAATTCTGCCAGCTTCTGCGTCGAGCGACGACCTCATCGAGCTGCAAGTTCCTAGCTCGTCTTTCTGCATTGGCGTCCAGCGACGCTGCGCCTCTGCTTTCCGCGCCCGACGACTCCTTCCTTCATTTTCGACGCTTCTTCTGTTTGTGTCTGCACCAGTTCTTCTCTCCGGCCCGATCTTCTGCTTTGTTTGCGCCTGTCTTTCTCTTCAACCCGACACAAGCTTCTCGCTGTAGGTGACAGCAGGTTGTTCTGATGACACTTCTTCTTTTGTTGAATCAGCAAAGGCTTCATTTGCACACGTGGTAGGAAACCCTCAGGTGAAGTCCGTGGGGGTATTTCCCTCAAGCTATAAGGAATGTCGCGATGACACAGAGGATCGTCCTTTTGTTAAGAAAGGAAGTAGGAAAGGTGGGAAAACAATAATTTTTTTCTTTGACTCAGAAATTTCTACCCTGACAGAAAAATTCAAGTTTGCTCTCATTGGAAAATTTCAGTGGGGACACCCACCTATGGAGGTTATCAGAAAGAGAGTAGATAATCTTAAGCCAGTAGACAAGTGAAAAGTGAGACATATGGATGAGAGACAAGTGTTGATCCAACTAACAATGACTGAAGACTATATCAGAATTTTCTCCAAGAATTATCTTAATATTGCAGGAAAAACTATGAAGTTACTCAAGAGGTCTCTTGATTTTGACCCAAATCATGAAACTCTCACTGTACCGATATGGTTTAGTTTACCTGGTCTCAAGCTGTATTTTTTTCACCATCAGGTTCTCTACTCTATTAGGGCCATTCTAGGGGATCCAAGCTAGATCTGCCTACTTTCAACCTAGCCAGACCCTCGGTGGCCAGAACACTTGTAGAAAGGGATATTACTTTACCGGATGTTACTGAAGTCTGGCTGGGCACAACCCACAATGAATATTGGCAACAAATCGTCTTGAAACACAGACCCCCATATTGTACCCACTGTAAAATGTTTAGTCATGTCCTTAATAAATGCTAAAGGATCCATCCTAAGTTTAAAACTAAGGTTAAAGTGAAAAAAAATGGGTCTAACCTCATTGCTCTGGACATTGTAGTACCACTTGGGAAGGATACTGCCAGACAGGTGGTGTCTGTTGCCCCTGAGGACCCCCCTCATGACACTGCTGTTACTGTTACTGCGAGCGATGTGATGTTGGCACCTTCAAACCCCATAGAAAACAATACTGATGGACTATTACCTACAAATGATAGTATTTAGACTGATAATCAAGAGAGCCTCGCAGCTCCACTTCTTCAAGAAGTATCCGGTGATTCTTCGGAAGAGAAATGACAGGTTTATTCTAAGAAGAAGAAGAATGGAGGCAGATTCCAGCTCGAAAACATATTGGATGATACATTGGTTACTTCTGGCAATAACAATCATCTTATCAACTTATTAGCTTGCTCCTTTCCTAGAACTAGAGACAGAGACAATACCAAATTTGGTCGCTCTCTAGCCACCTGATACTATGTATTTCGACACTGTTAGGGTTTTTTTATATAAGTATATGTTTTTTCTAGTTTTGGAACCATTTGTGACTTTTTAGTGGGTAGGGTGCCATGTTTGGGCTCTCCCACACTTTGTATCTATATCTTTCTTTCTACTTAATATATTAGCCTTTT